ATGCACACTCTCAACGATTTTCTCCAGCAGCATCACCTCATGCTGGCTCAGAACTGCACTGCTGACAAATTTCACTTCATCCTCCAGCTCATTCCATGTTCTAATGATAAACATTTTCTCTTCCTTTCAGGCATTAAGGAATACAAAATGCAAAAACTTGGAGTTACCCATACACCTCCAGGAATGTCTTCCCCTTCCCTTCCGTCTCCATCCCTTTTCCCATTTCCACCTCCTGAAATGTATTTACTATCCCTTCTGACCTTCCACTCTCCGAAGTCGAACATTTTATACTCAGAAAAGCTCTCAGTTTTATCCCTCTGAGTCCCCACCTTAATGAATTTTGGGCACAACCTAACATTGAACTCCTCTTCCGCTGCCTTTGCCTCTATGCCCATTTGTTTAGACAAGAGTCATCTCCCCATCCCACAGACCCCTTCACCCACCTCTAACACTCTCCCTCTACCTGAAGCCCTCTCTCCCTCAGCAGGCCTTTTAACTCCACTTGACCTGTTCTTTGAGAAGTGTTGACATGACATTGGTCACTACAATTTTTATGCACCCCGCCCACCCTCCCACCCATTCTAACCTATCTCCTTCTGAACTGAATGCAGTCCATGATCTCAGATCCAACCCTGACTTTGTCATTAAGCCTGCCAACAAAGATGGAACTCCACTTTGCAAAGGCTGAGTGCTAGTTCTTGGACATCTCCTATCTCCCTCTGGACCATGACACCACCATTGAACACCAGGCTATTGTGTCCTCAACAGTCACTAAAATCATTTCATTGGGTAATCTCCTCCAAGTACACAGGATCTGTTTTATAATTGCCTAAAAGTCAATTCATTGGCATTGATCAAAGATGGCGACAACAGAGTAGGCAGAGTCCGAGCTCCTAACCCCAAGACTCGTCCATCCGACCACTTTCTTTTTTCTTTTTCTTAATCTCTCTTCTTTTTTCTAAGATTTTAAAGTGTTTATTGTTTGAAAATAAAAGGAAAACTTACCTTGGAGTGGCTGAGGGCCGGAGCAGAGCAGCTGAGGGCTGGAGTGGAGAGGGCTAGAGGCATGGAGTTGGGCAGAGCAGGCTGGAGGCATGGAGTGGAGGAGGCTGGAGGCATGGGACGGAGTGAAGTGGGCTGGTGGCATGGAGGGAGCGGGGACAGTTGTTGGACTGGGGACTGTTGGAGGCGTTCAGTGGCATGCGAGCCCAGTCAGACCATGTGCAGAATCCCTTTGGACTTATCTACTGCAACATAATATTTATCTGTAGCCTGTTTATCCTTACAAATTTATTTCTTATTTTCTAACTTGTACTACGAATCACTGTAAGGCAATATATTTTTTCTCTTTATCTAAGATTTGTATCCAGGTACGTTGTACCTAAGATAGCACTGTGAGGGACAACATTGTAAATTTTTCACTGTGCTCCTGTATTTCTGGACTTGAGTACATGTGACAGTGAACCTTATTCCAAAAGAGAAGTTTGAAAGGCTGCAAACGGTATTGGCAGAGTGAGTTCTGAAGGACATTTCTTCTCCTGGAGGAGCCCGAAGTAAATGGGTGTGATTTCTGCATAAGGTGGCTAGCCAGGAAAGGCAGAGTTAAGATGCAACATATTCCAACAGTTTGTCATCAAGCTTGGAATTCTACACCCCAAGAGCAATTGTTATTCAATGTTTGAATATATCAATGACAAACTCAGATATTGGTCTGAAGAAGTGAATAAATGCTGACATAAAAATGGAATTGAATCCACAATCTATTGGACTTTGAATAATGGTATTGATAGCATTGAATGGCAGAATAGGCTGGGCAGGAAAAATAATCTTATTCTGCTCCTGATTCGAATTTTCTTAGATTTTCCATGTCTAAATTTTTAACATTGATGTCAATGTTTCTCAGTCTCAGAGATTCACTTTTATTATTGTGACTATAATCAAATATTAAAAATGGAACACGTCAAATTATCCCAAATACCACAGATGAGAAAACAGGATGCTCAATAAAGGAATGTAGGAGTAGGAGTAGCCCTTCAGCCTTCAATATTGCTCCTCTGTTCAGCTGAATTGTGGTTAATTATCTACTACAAAGCATATTTCTGACATGATCCCGTATCCCTTTGCATCATTATTATTTAGCTGTCAATTCCAATGTTAAATGTACTAAATGACTGATATTCCAGAGCCCAAAAATCTTCCAAATATCCACAACCACACTTTTGCTTTTTAAAGTGTTTGGTACAATTTTCTAAGGTAACAAGTATCTTCTCAGGCTTATATATTTGCTTTCACTTAATTTGTTGCCACTTTAACTTCATTACTGAGCTATGGAGGGTGCCTTAGTCTGCCCAAGTCCTTCTTTCTTGAAAATGTAGCTTTGATGGGTGGCATATCTCATTAAATGTCTGCTACTTTAATTCCATTGACCTACTTGGCTAGCTCAGTTGGCTGGATTGCAGAATGATGCCAACAGTTTAATTCTCACACAATCTGAGATTACCAAGAAGGGCTCTCCTTCTCAACCTTTTTCCCTCACCTGAGGTGTGGTGACCCTCCAGTTAAACTACCACTTGTCATCTCTCTTTCTAATGAAAGAACAGCCAAGAGTCCTGTGGAACTTGGCTACTTTATTTACCTACTGACCAGATCCTTTATCAAGTTCTCTTTATCTAGCTTCATATGCCTGTAGTTGGTTTACCTCCTGTTTAAAACACTAGTCTTAAAAACACTACTCTTCCCTTCCACAAATTGACTGTTTTCTCAAATAGAATTTGATCAGTGCTACTGAAAGAGTCCTTTATGATGTGCTGTTTACGATCTGCTCATATTAATTACCCTTGCCTCACTGCACTCTGCCAGGACTGGAAAGGCTGATTGCCAGTTTATTCTTAAATGTGCTTCTTGTGAAAAGTAGCCAGAAGACAAGCTAAGAGCTTATATCTCAGAGATAGCAGGAACTGCAGATGCTGGAGAATCTGAGGTAACAAGGTGCAGAGCTGGAAGAACACAGCAGGCCAAGCAGCATCAGAGGAGCAGGAAGGCTGACGTTTCAGGCCTAGACCCTTCTTCAGAAAAAAAAACAAAAAAACAATCTTATATCTCATGTTTTCTTTGTCTGATTCAAATTTGGTGCCAGTGTCCTATGTATCGAAAACTATTTCTCACACACCAGCCACTGAGTCATGCATTCAATTTCCTGACCTTATTTATTCCATGTCAATTTGCTAGTGTACTGTATTGAATGTCTGCGTTTGACTTAACCTTATTTACATTCATGAGTTAGTCACGTCTATTTGACTGAATAATAATACACTGACAAGTTCCAAACAAACACAAGTTCAGCTGAACAATCCTCAGTTCAGATCCTCACAAACAATTCAGCCTTTCTTGGGAAAGCTTTTAAGATGAAAGGAGAAAGCAAATCACTGAACAGGAGACAACAAGGTGTAGAGCTGAATGAATACAGCAGGCCAAGCAGCATCAGAGGAGCGAGAAAGCTGACGTTTCGGGTCTAGACCCTTGTTCAGAAAAAGGGTCTGATGAAGGGTCTAGGCCCAAAACATCAGCCTTCCTGCT